CTACTGAAATTCCACGCACCCTTCCAGGATCTGAACCCAGCACCCTCGGTCACCGTAGTACCTCCTGCAGGTGTCTTAAGGTCTTCCCTCCACAGTGCATACTCCGCTTCCAGTCTTTGGACTTCGCCCTTTTGCCTTCCACTAAAAATTCCTTTGGAGTCAACCAAGCCCCCTGCTCATTCCGAATGCATTTCTCTGAGGATCCTGTAAGGAAAAGATGGGCCTTCAGAGATCCACCTGGACCTTCTGTGAACTCACCTCCGTCCTCTGAGCCCCACATTGTGGCTCTCCACCTTCCTCAGGAGTGGGGGCAGAAGCAGGGGAATCTAGTTCTTCCTCTACCTTAAAGGAACCCTGACGCCCACATGCTGCTGAGGGAGTGGAGCAGAATTCACATTGTCTGTGACACTACATGTAGCTAGGACATGGAGTTGGCATCTCAGTGCTCATGGGTGACTCATGTGGGGTGGAGAGATCTGGCTTCCAGGTACACCATGATGTGGAAAGGTCTGGAAATTCCTTCATGGGAAGTACCCTTGGCCTGCAGCCTGGCTAGCAGGGTCCATTTCCTGGTCAACTACACACAGGGAGTGCTGTCTCTTCCCTTCTAGCCTGGCCTTCATCCAGGGACACGAAGAGCAGAAGGCCAGGAACTCACCTGCTTTCATTTTCTCCTTGTAGAGAATCCCCTTGGCCTCACCACAGGTCACAGGAAGTGTAAGAGAGAGAAAATCCGCGGTGTCATCCTCAGGCTTTTCTGGAAGGACAAGAGCAGCATGGTGTTTACTCAGCTTTCCTTCACCCTTCTCTGTGGGTGCCCCTCCCGGCAACCCCAATGACCGTCACAAGACAAGATGGTGTGCATGGCATTGGGGAGGAGGCTCTGGTTACTCTGCAGGTGTTTTCTGTTTCCAGTGCCAGATTAGCTGTGTGAAGAGAGCGGACTCCAGGGAGAACTCCCACCAACTCCCACCAGACGGGGGATTTCAGCAGAACACACGTAAGGATTCTAGATTATGGTTCATTTGTGGCACTTTTTAGTACATGACACCATGTTACAGTTACGTCTTAATAAAAACCAGCCCAGCTCTTAACATCCATTATAAGGCCAAGCTCGGACCTGAACTGCTGAGAGCCTGCTCTTCAGATTTCTCTTGGAACTGTGCTCTCAAGCAAGGGCTTCACTCATTTTTATTGAAGTGGCACATCCAGCAGGAAATAGGAGTGAAAGTCAGACCCTTCTCAGAGAATTTTGGTCTTTTTTTCCCCTAGACCTAGAACACCACCCACACTAGCACAAGCAATTTCTCTCATTGTTTTCAGTGAGATAAACATTGTTTGCAGTGCTCTGACATGCTAAGCATGCATACGCACATTCATGTATTATTTTGGGTAGAGGGCAAGGAAGGCTCATGAGGGGTTAAGGCCATGCCCAGGTCACAAGAGGAGCACATGGCTCAGTGAGCTTGCTTATATCTTGCTGCAAGGACAGGTAAAAGTTATTAGAACAGAGCACATTTATATTGCAAAAATCATTACCACACTTGTTACTGTTGTTTTGGTTTGATTTTCTTTGGTTTTAAGGTTGTCCTAATCAGTCCTGAGTAGCCTGGAGCTCACCATGAAGACCAGGCTCGCCTGGAACCTGCAGCTATCCTCCTGCCTCTGCCTCCTGCCTCTGCCTAGTGCTGGGATTAGAGGCGCGAACACCCTGTTCCACCCTAAGTGTTTTAATTTGCAAGCTAACTGGCCATCGACTGGTTTTTAGCAGTAGATACCGGCCTACTTAGCTCTCTGTGCTGATACAAGTCACCTACCTAAATATCTTTATATTCGTATAGGCAGAGCACTCACACAAAGACCGGTGTCAGTCTCCATCACTTGCTGTCACTTTTCACTTTATCAGGTCCCTATTTCTTTTTCAACAAATAAAACTCTAGAGTTCTAGATGAGCCTGCAAGTTGCACTTGAGGATCCTGGGTGGCTCAGAACCTTGGAATAGAAATCTCAGGTTCAGATTCAGGAGAAGCAGCTGCATTAAGCCTTAAAATAGCTGTTCGCAATTTCAGCTCCCTTCTCCCACCTCACTGGGGAAGACTTCATGCAGGAGCCCTCTCTCAGCAGAGTGATAAATGCTGTCCATGTCTTGTACTGAGTTAGAAACTATTATATCTGCAATAGGTCAGGAGCATCTAAGCCAACTCTCTCTTACCTCAAATACTTATTAAAAGAATAAAAGGAAAAATGTGTGAAAAGATAATGTATGAAAGGCATTGCCGGGAAAAGGAAAGAACAGTGTTGATGGTGAAGACATTAATCACCACTGATTACTTTGTACAGATATGGAGCAGGGAGAGTCAGAGAGAGAAGTGAGGTCCCTGGTGAGGGCGTAGCTTCTCCTGAAGAGCCCCAAAGGATGAGAGAAATCGGCTGGCAGAGAGACTGCATGGATGCAGGGATGAGGGATGTAAACTTCATGGAATGACCAGCTCCCCTATGTGACTCCAGGTTCCTCTCAAATACAGTGCAGTAAAAAGGAATCTGGAGCCCTTGCCTGGAGGCAGAACTGACCAGGGGCAGACCTGACTGGTTTGTAATCTTGGCTTTGCAGCTTCCTAGGAAGATCACGGGAACTGTAATACCGTTATCTAATTTGAGTAGATTTGTGGCTGCCAGCTCCTCACTGGAGTGGAAAGCAGAGCTGCAGTAACCTACATTTCTCTTATAAACCCCGAGGGGATCAGCATGGTGCTCTTCAGCAGCTCTGTCTCCACAGGAACATCTTTGCTAATTCCTTATGTAAGTATAGCTCCAAAGAACACAGGTGCCCCAGTTGTGCTTGCAAACAGATGAAGGAGCAGTGGGAGACTTGGGGGAGGGGGTGTGAGTAGCAAATCAACATGCAGGGTCATAACCACAAGCATCACCTCCTCCTTTGTCTGATGCAGATAACCCTTGCACTCTAAGTAAAGTGGGCTTTTAGGTCCAAGGACTTTCAAAGCCATATACTACCCCAAAGGGCAGATTTCTGGTGAGTTTCCAGTGGTGCTAAATTTGGCTCAGTCACATTTACCCATTTCAGCAACAGACCTTCAAGGATGGAACCTGCTTGGGGCTCCCCAGCATCACCCAGCCCCATTTCTAAAGGAGCTGCAGCAGCTGCTTTAGATCCTTATTAGCGAGTATGAACAAACAAGCAGGAGCCTGTAAGAAAGCAATTACAGAGCAGGGTGATTTATTTAATTGACGTGCAGAGCATCCTTGGAGGAAATGAGGAGGAGCCTGGCAGGGAAGAGGAGCAGTGGGATGGAAAAAAACCTGATTAGTCAGCCGAAGACCAACCCCCAGATCCTTCCAGAACATTACACCTGAGAAGAGGACAGGCCCAGGGAAGATCTGAGAGCTGGAGATCCATGCAGCAGGGGTCAGGGTGAGGGGTGGGAGAAGGGGCGGCTGGAGGAGAGACAGAACAGCAAGAGTGGCCTCATCGAACCACTCCTCCTCACAGGAAGATGGCAACGGTCCTGCTCATTTCCCAGATGGGGCGGAGGCTCAGAGGGGTAAGCGGCAGTGACTGTGTGAGGGGAACCTCCCTGGGATGCAGATGTTCCAGGTACCTCTCTAGAGCTCTTTCTGTGTCGTTGAAGATGACTCAGCCAGAGGCTATGAGCAGTTAGTTGATGGCTGCTGAGGGAGAGTCATTTACTGGCAGGTGAATGGTCCCACACCATGTGCACATGGACAGGCATTGGGCTCAGACACATACAAACATTTATGAATTAGAAAATGTGAAGTTGGAACGAGACGTGGTGAGGGTGGTGTTGGAGGCGGGAAATGGGAAGTGGGTATAATCAAAACATACTATGTACACTTTCAAGGAATAAATTTATTTTGAAAGAATAAATATTAAAAAATGTCTTGCAAGACCAGGCATGGTGGCACATGCCTTTATTCCCAGCACTCGGGAGGCAGAGGCAGGCAGATCTCTGTAAGTTCAAGGCCAGCCTGGCCTACATAACAAGTTCTAGGCCAGCTAGAGCTACAGGGAGACCCTGTCTCAAAAAGACCAAAAAAAAAAATATATATATATATGTTTTGCAACATGGACAAATCCTATATAAGCTCAAGCCAGGCAAAATCCCAATATAGTCTTGGGGAAGTGAGTCAGAAACCCCCAGCCACCTGGGGAATACTGACAACTGGTGGCTGCTGGGAGAGTCAGTCTCATTTAAGGGTGAGACTCTTGGTAGGTTGACCTGGCTCCAGTGGATGAACCCACAGTGAAGGGCATTTGGGGACACAAACTTGACTGTATATGTCTTTATACACACACACACCCCGACACATACATGTACATATATATACAGAGAAATTTGGTGGGAGGATTAGAAAGGGGGGTGTGCAGATATAGGAGGGGATCTAGGGGTTCTAAACATGATCAAAATATAGTGTATGAAATTCACACACCACACACACACACACACACAGAGCTGGCCATCTAACAGCATCCTGGTCAAGTTGGAAGTTGCACTGGGGGCCAAGGTTATGCTAAAGATTTTTAGTGTAAGAGTAGTGCGTTGAGAAGTGCCTAGGCCGTTTAGCTCATCTAAGTTTTTTATGCTTTAATTGAATTTGACAATGAAAATAATGGCCAAATGTAGGGCAGTGCTTTGCCAGTGTCAGGCCCTGTGGTTGTACACTGAGCAAGATTCCACCTTGAAGGGCGTGTTAGGATTTATATCAGAAACAATCCATTTGAATGCTCAGTACAGCAACATTCCAGCAGAGGGCAGCAAAGGCCCTGACATTGGCATTCATACTTGAAGGAGAATGGATCATGTTCTGATTTGTTGGTTATTTAAGGACAAACTGTGAGGCACAGAGGGTCTGGACGCAGTACAACCAGCAGGGCTGATCCACTCTCTGAATAAACAGGATGTACAGAGACAACTAATCATAGCTATGAGAAGGCCATGAGGAAAAGCTACAGGGTTCTGTGGGGCAGGTCAGGGAGACCTGTATACTTGCTAGGAAGGTGATATTTAAGTTGATTAGGTGATTGTTAAGGTAATGAGGTGATGTTTAAGGTGAGTTCTGAGGGTGTTGATCAGAGAGGAAGTAGGAAGTGTGGATCTGTTTGGGGTGTGTGAGGGAGGAGACATGTGAGGAGACCCTGAGCAGGCTGGAGGGGAAACACCCCATGTCTAACTGCCCTACACCATGACTAATCAGGGGTGTTCTTATGAAAAGGAAATTAGGGCACTGACAGAAACTAGACAGAAAAACCAAAATTTCCAAAGTATCAAGTTTCCAACTGCTGTCTGGGAGCTGAGAGAAAAGAGGGTCCACACCCTACTTCGAGGGCACAGAACTCGAGAATCCCTGTTGACTGTCATAATTTGGGTTCTGAGTAAAAGAACAAAAGACAGAGGGATAAAAGGCAAAGGGAAAGGGAAGGAGGAGAGAACGTGGAGGAGAGGCCGAGAATGCAGAGCTCTACACGTGCTTGTTTCTCAGACTGTAAATAACCTTTTTTGTGACCTGGAGAAGGTAGACAGGAGAGCTAGCGAGGTGGTTTAGCAGGGAGAGGCACTTGCCCCACAAGCCTGGCAACTTGAGTTTGGTCCCTGGAACCCACGTAAAGGTAGAAAGAGAGCTGATTCTATAATAATTGTTCTCTGGGCCTACACACACACACACACACACACACACACACACACTGGCACATGTGCCCCCCACAAGAATGGAAGATGCATGGTGAGGGGCCTGAGTTGAATGAGATGGTTCTGAAAGCTCCAAACCTAATCTCACCGTGGGACTGTGAGTCTGAATGCGGCTTGTGGATTTCTGGTTTTCATCTATCCTCTGCTCTGGTCCTGGACTGGACACATTCCCAATCTCAAAGCTGTTAAACAACCCATGGCTACCTCAACTCACATTCCTTCCCTGTGATAACAGAGAAGAAGCTTGGCTTGGCCCCAAATGGTGGTGTCAGGGTCTCCCTTCTTTTGTGTGAAGAGTGGAGTCCTTTGGCAGGTGGCCGAGAGGACAGGAGTGGAGCTGGTCAGCCCCGGTGTGAGCCAGGTGTCCCTGTGACTGCAGAGGAGACCAAACTGCTTGGTCAAGGGCAGATGCTGATGGACCCACAGGGAACCGCTTCTCTGTTCCTGCTTACCTGTGGGAAGCCTTTTGTTCTGTTTTGTTTTGGAGCTTGACCAGTTATATCTTTTTGTTTTTTCTAAAAAAGGAAAAAAGAAAAAATCTTTTACAGTGTGAATGTCAATCTACAAGCCAAAGATCACAAGACATTTTTTTAGGAGGTTCTTGTCATGTAGCCCACACTAAGCTGGAACTTGTAATCCTCTTGCTCCAGCCTCTAAACTGCTGGGATTATAGGCATGCACCTCTGTGTCTTGCTCTTTCTCTGTACTATTTAACTAAACATTTTCTGCTTTTTATCACTTTAAGGAGGTAAGAAACCTCCTTATGTCAGGTGTCTTATAGGTGTCTTATGTCACCTATAAGAACAAATTACTTTATCTCACGGGAAACGAAATGAACAATATGTTAAATAGCTAACATTTAAAATAGGCCATTCTTTCAAATTATCGAGTTTTTTCACCAGCATTTTTACCAGAAAAATTTTAAGAGATTATTATGAGCCATTGGTAAAAGGTTTACCAAGCTGAAACCAAGACCACACACATTACCACTTAAAACTTTTAAATGTCTGTACCTTTAAAATACCTCCACGATATGAAAACAAAACCAAAACGAGGCAGCTACATTCTACGCACTATCTAGAAGCTACCATCTTCCATGGGAAAAGGCAAAGGTGGACAGCATCCTAAGGAAATAGGTAAAGGTACTGGGCTTCTTGGGTTTTTGTTTTTCTCTCCTGGCCTGTGTCCAAGGCAGGAAACAAGAATCTCTATCCCTGGCATCTCCCTAATTTGACAATGGCCCAAGATGTTGTATTGTGTTTATGTTATTTTTTTTAAGCTAAAGTATGCAAAGTAAAGACGATAAACATGAAAATAATAAATAAGAGATAAATAAAAAAAATACTGGAATAGGAAGCAGAAATGACCATTTTCTTTAGAAATCACCTTTATGCCACTTAAAACCAAAGAGATATGTTGCTTGGTTTTGAGGTGATATTTGAAAAGCTTTGCCTAGTACAGAAGGGGTGGGGAATGAGCTCCTCTGTATACATAGGAAACACGAGTTCTTGCATTTTTTTCAGCAAGAAATAGGGTAATGTGTACATTGTGAGATATGCACACACTATTCAATCCCCTCAGAAATCAAGTCCAAGGAAACTATTGGGCAAGCATGAAAACACACACAAACCTAATTTCTATTTTCTTTTTCCATGGTCATTCTTTTCAATACTGCTGGAGATTAAATCCAAGGCTATCTGCATGCTGGGCTATCATTGAGTTACATCCCCACTCCTGATTTTTATTTCCATATAAAGATAGGAAAAAAACAAGTCCACCAATAGAGGATTATTTAGCCAATCATAAATAATATGCTGTACAGTTAAAAAAAAAAAAAAAGAAAATGGAGCCAGGTATGGAAATGTATGCCTGTAATCCAAGCACTTGGGAAGTAGAGGCAGGAAGGATAGGAGTTCAGAGCCGGCTCAGCTCCCTAGTGAGTTTCAAGATAGCCCGGGCTACATGAAACCTAGTATGAAATACCAGCAAAAAAGGGGGATGGTGGAGAGTCAAGAATGTAACTTAGTGATAGAGCATTTGCCTTAGCATGTGTGAGGTCCTGGGCTTGATCCTCAGTACTACAAAACAAACAAACAAGTAAGACACAATGAAAATAGTGATTTGTAGAATGAGCTGACTATACAATGAGATTTATATATATACATGTAATATATATATATATATATAATAAGATATAAAACAGAGTAAGAGGACTGAGGATGTGGCTCAAAGGTAGAGTGACTGTTTAGTGTGCACACGGCCCTGGGGTTGACTGTTAGCACTGAAAAGGACAAGGTGAGGAAGCAGGCTCAACAGATGTTCATCTGCTTGATTTATGTATTTCTAGACTTTCTGCAGATGTATCAGGATTACTGGATCACATGGGACAGAGCAGGCTATGCTACAGGAATGAAACAAAGCAAATCCTGGTGACTGAACACAGAAGTCCATGCCTTGGTCACACAGTGCTGTGTAGGACTAGAGGGCTCTGCAGGGCTGCTGTGGTATGGGGATCATTGAGGCTTTGGTCTTTGGGGTGGGGGACTCCTTTCACATCTTTCCGTGGTCAGGGGGAAAATGCAGGAAGCTTAGCAGCAGCTCCCAGAATTGTTGGCCAGACCCCAGTAACAGGAATGCACATGCAGAAGACAGGCAGGCAACAGGTAGGAAAGAGCCTGGGCCGACACCAACCCTGACCACCTGCCTCTGTGCAGGAAGAGAAATAAGTGCCTTAATTTTAGCCACTTCTCCTTCTGAGTAGGATGGGGCTTGCTGCCACTCATAGCCACTGAAGTCTAATACTTGTGGCATATTGCTTTTGGCATATAGAAACTTTTCTGTGTTGAAAAAATTTTCACTGTTTCAAAAAGCTCGAGTGTTTTGTTTGTTTTTGGCTTGAATTCTTTTAAAGCTTTAACAGGCACCTCAAAAAAACAAGAGTACCATCAAATGCCTAACAGACCAAGTTTCTTCTAGACACTTAGGCCTTTTACCAGGAGATTTTTCTTTAAGGTGTTTACTTCCATTATCTATAGGATGGAGAAAGTAATGAGAATAAAAGTCATTTTTGAATAAGCAAGTTTGATATTTTGCGACCAATCACCCTCATTTCACACAACAGTGAACCAACAATGTTTGATGCTATTATTTTCATCCCTTTCTATCTAATGGATGGCGATGGCTCCTGAAAAGCATTCTGGGAGACAGAATGTGAGTCCTGTGCCTGTCAGTCATTGTCTCTGGATCTTTGCACAACCAAATCAATCATTTCCATATCTATTTCCTTATCTGCAAAATTAGAATAAATTTCAACCTTCTCCAAGGGTTCTTATAAGAATGAGATGGAATTACCTATAATATAAACTGAGATATTATATAAATGAGTACAATGTAGGAGAAACTATCAAAATGGTAATTTTGATTTTTTTATACTTATGTGTGTCTGATGTTTCCATGTGTGGGGGTAATGCATGTGGATGCCTTTGTGCATATATGTGTGGAAGCCTGAAGTTGATGAGTATTTTCCCCAGTCACTTGGCACTTTATTTACTGAGGCCTGGTCTCTCACTGAATGCAGAGCTAACCAGTTCTGGCTAGTGGAAGCAGTCAACTCCCCCAAGGATACCACCTACCCGCTTTGACATGGGTGATGGGGATTTGAACTCTGGTCTTCATGTTTGCATAGCAAATGCTTTATTCATTGAGCCATCTCTTCAGCGCCTGTAATTTGGACTTTAAGGTGGGACAATTTAGCCTTTCTTCCTGGCAACAATTTGATATTTGGAAGTTATGACTTTCATGCTTGAGTTCTGTGAGTCTAACACGGTAACCACTCCACCAATGAAGAGAAGATAGATGTTCTCGTTTTTTCCTTCTAAGTGGCACCAGTTCTTACAGGAAAGGGAGTAGCTGAGGGTGGTGAGAGGTAAATCCATGGTGTCCCTGTACCACATGCCCTCCACAGGGGCACAGGCTGTCTGTGCTCACTCACAGCACGGCTTTTGTATTTTTAATGAGTTTTTCCAGTCCCATTCTTCCCAGAAAGGTCACATGAGAAACAAATGTCATTGGAATTCTAGGAAACTCTTACCTGGGCATTTCAGGGTAGTACACACAATATGTTCAAACACGTTCTCAGCAGGGGTGATGTTGTTCCCAGGAGCACAAACAGTGGTTCTTGAGGGAGGTGAAAAACCTTCAAATATTGTACATGCATACACAGTCTGTACATGGTTACTATTAGTGATATCTATATAACTATCATGGGGAAGATTGTGATGAAGAAACAAATACCTAAAGGGGCAACTTAGGGCAGTGATCATGAAAAATAAAAGTTGTGAAATCATGGCTTAGAATACAGCAGCCCTGATTTTGGGTGACTGCTGACTGCATTTGGAGACCCACAGTTCCTAATTCTTACCATGCACAATTCTTGCTGGTGTGCTGGAGGTCTTCTGGGGCCTCTCTCCACTATTCATTTCTGAAGTCTCATTGCTGATCTCTGAAAAAAAGAGGATCAATGATCCTTGCAGATGAAAATTCCAAGAAGAGTCTCCCAGTGACTCTGGAAGGATAATGTACATTTCAGAGCCCCAGGGCTGCAGGCTCCAAGACACCCCACCCCAAGAATGCATCTACCATGAGTCTAGTGTGTCTCCCATCCCTGCCTCCTCCCGGGAACATAGAGCAAGGCTGGCCAGCAGGAGTTACTCTCATACTGATGTCCATTGTGCCCAGTGGGCCAAAGTCATCTAGGCCCTGGGCCTCAGCTCTCGAGTGAGGTCATGAGCCTCTGGGGATAGTCCCTGAAACCCTATTTGCATGCTCAGATGCAATTTGCCTTTTCCATTGTTTCAACCTTTGTACAGACTGAGGAGGTGCAATGGAAGTAAAGCTGCTGGTCCCCCTTCAGCAGGGGTCTTGGTCATCATTCACAGCCACACTCTCATAAAAAATCCATATGATTTGTGTGTGTGTGTGTGTGTGTGTGTGTGTGTGTGTATGAATGTTTTGCCTTCATGTTTGTAAGTATATCGCATACATGCAATACCTGAGGGTGCCAGAGGAGGGCACCAGATTGGAGTTATGGATAGCTATTAGCTGCTACCGGGGTACTAGGAACCAAACCCAAGTCCTCTGCAAGAACAGTTACTGCTCTTAACCACTGAGCCCTCTCCAGTCCCAAATCCATATGACTTTTCCAAGAGGCCTTTACTGTTAGCTATCCCTCTCCTTAGCCCCTCCTCTCCCTGCCCTTCCATCCCCACCCCATTTAACCTTTCCTCCTCCATTATTTCTCTTTCCATTTTTGTATCACTGCATTCTATGTCCCTCCTATGACAACCCCTCCATGGCTCCTATTGGTTCCCTGGCCTCTGTAGATTTTCTAATTGAAACATAGCTATCTAAAGATTCAAAGCTAGTATCCACTTACGAGAGAGTGTGATGTAATGTTAGTCTTTCTGAGTTTGGGTTACCTTGCTTAGGATAATTGTTTTCAGTTCTACTCATTTACCTGAGAATTTCATAATATTGTCTTTCTTAGTAGCTGAATAATATTCTCTTGTGTAAATGCACCATACGTTCATTATAGAGTCTTCTTAAAATATATACACATACAATATAAAAAGTTTAAATGTAGTTACCCTATAACAGGTCCAGTGGTCCTTCCAGGCTAACAAATAAAAAGTGTAATGTCAGGAATGGACTACCTCTTTTGAAGTGTTAACCAAGGGGATCCCACAGACTCTCAAACAATACTGGCAATTGCTATTCCTCTTGGTTACCCTCCAGAACTTGATGATAAGACCCTATTGCTGAAGACACCACATACCTGAGCCACAGAACAAAGAGAAATCAAGCTGGTACTGACCCCAAAGCTTCATCTCTACTTGGACAGTGCTGGAAAGTGCTATGCATGCTACTAGAAGAGAAAAGTAATCATCAACCTTGCCCAGCTGTGAACCTTGAGAGCTATAATAATGACTGGCATGGCAAGATATGCCCACAGGTAATTGGATTTAAGGCCTACTTCATGAGATGGAGCCTGTGATGATTTAAATGAGAATGTCCTCCTTAGGCTCCAAGTATTTGGACATTTTGTCCCCAGTTTATGGTACTGTTGGGAAGGGTCATGGAACCTTTAGGAGGTGTGGTCATGCTGGAGGAATCACATCACTAGGGGCGGGCTTTGACAGTTCTTAAGCCTTGCCAAATTTCCAGTCTCTCTCTGCTTCTTGTGCCTGCTTGAAGATGTGATTGCTTGGCTTTCTGCTCCTGCCGCCTCTGCTGCCATTATGGACTCTAACCCTCTGGAACCATAAGCCAAATAAACTCTTTTATAAGTTCCCTTAGTCATGGTGTTTTATCACAGCAACAGAAAAGAAACTAATACAGAGCCCATGCCTGGCACTGTTATCAGGGTTAAGAATCTGTGCTAGTCAGGTCACAGGCAAACAGGGGAGAAGCTATTACTATTATTCTACTAAATAGATACAGTGTTAAACTGTCACCCAATGACCTATTGTTATACCCATAGATTAGTGAAACACACAACTCCACTAGATAAGCCTTTTCTTGTGACAGATAGCAATTAACAAAGATCCACAACTGGTCAACGTGAAGAGAATAAGAGACTGTGGAGCGATTGGCCTTAAATGGGATGCCTATATCATGCCCTCTCTTTCTAAGGCTCAGGAATCTTTGTGGAGAGGAGGTAGAAAGAGTGGAAGAGTCAGAAGTAGAAGATAAAGACAAAGAAACTATGAACCCAAAGTACTTAGGACAGCATGCACAAGACCTGTGCAGGCCCAAGCCAGACAGAGCCCAGCATGGATGTGGGTGCTGGGCAAGAGGATCTTACATGAGGAGAAGATCCATTCCAAACATAAGATGGAATGATGTATTTAAAATAAAATACAAAGAATAAGTGTCAGAGGTGAGTTTATATTCTACCTTACAGTTAAAAGAAGAAACTACCATTCTGGGGCTGGAGGGATGGCCCAGTGGCTAAGAGACATACTGCTCTTCCAGAGGAACTGAATTTGATTCCCAGCACCCACGCTGGGTGGCTCACAACTGCCTGTTACTGCAATTCCAAGGCAGGGAACCTGATGGCTCTGGCTTCCACAAGCACCTGTACTTTCTCTCTCTCTCTCTCTCTCTCTCTCTCTCTCTCTCTCTCTCTGTGTGTGTGTGTGTGTATGAGAGAGAGAGGCATGCAAACACATGCAGGGGGAGAGACTCGCCCATAATTAAAAATAAAATAAGATAAAAATAAAGCTATGACAGGTTGAGTGCTGACGCCGAGTGGTATTAAAGACGAATCCCACTGGTAGTCTAAAGGGCTGTTAGAACACTCCACTGCTTCCAACTCCATGTCAGTATAAGGCTAGATTTTATTTCTATTGTTCAACCAAAGCAACTTCTCATAGGACTCTGAGTTCAGAAGCAATTGTAAGAATCCAGTTCCCTCAGGAAGTGTGACATTATTGAGATCTGCAAGAACAGAAAATGGCATTACACTTCTAATTTTTTTGTGTCAGAAATGTATTTTTTATAAAAAGTTACATGGCAAAATAATGTTATCTTTAAATAAACATTTTTAGGGCCTGGAGATAACTCAGTGGTTAGGAGTACTGGCTGCTCTTGCAGAGGACTTGGGTTCCGTTCTCAGCACTGACCATAACGCCAGTTCCAGAAGACCCGACATCCTCTTCTGACCTCCACAGGCATTGCATGTATAGGTGCTCTTACATGCATGCAGGAAAAAGACTCGTACACATAAAAAATAAAAATAAGGAACCTGGGAGCTTTCCCAGACCTGTCTTGATTAATGCATCTCTCAACTCTCACCAGAGAAGTTTCCTAGGCACCAGAGGTGATTGCTACAGAAACCCACAACTGGCCAATGTGCAAAGAACAAGAGACTCCAGAATGCTTATCCCTGAACAAGACACCTATATCAAACTTCTACCTCCCAAGGCTCAGGGATCATTGTGGAAGAGGGACAGAAAGACTGTAAGAGCCAGAGGAGGTGGATGACCACAAGGAAACAGCTTTTTAGACAGCTGGTCAGTTACTCATATGAACATGCAACAATGGCGACAGCATGCATGAGTCCTACGAGAGTGCAAGCCAGACAGAATCCCAACATAGACATGGGGAAAGGGGTAAGAACCTCCAACCCTACCTGAGGAATTACTGGCAACTGATGGCTGCTGGGATGGGGAGATTCAGTTCCATTTAAGGGTGAGACTCTTTGTAGGTTAACCAGGCTCCAGTGGATGAACCCACAGTGACGGGCATTTGGGAAAAACAAACCTGACTTTATAGGCATATATGTGTATGTGTATGTATGTGTGTTGGGGGTGGTTAGTAAGGGCAGTGCAGATATGGAAAGGGATCTAAATATGATCAAAATATATTGCATGAAACTTGCAAAAATTCAATTAAAAAATTGATCAAAAAAAGTATGAATCTTATTTTCTCATTGTAAATTTTCTACTTGTAAATAACAAAGGTGTGTTCTCTTCTGCTTTACTGATTTTCAAAATAAAAATTGCTTGAAATAAAAAGTAGATAAAAAAATCTATCTTAAATTATCAGTTTTAGTTTTGAATAAGATACGATAGGCATGAGCAACATAAACAAAAATCTTGGGGAGTTCTTAGTAATCTTTAAGATGTAATGGCGTCCTGAGAGCCGAGCTTGAGAACCAGTACCGCAGGCCTCAGCTAAGGAGACCTGTCGCTGTGAACACATCTGTTTCTTCAACAAAGGCTCAGCTGTGGTTGATCTCCGCCCTCTCATGCCCTCTCCTCACATCCCAGCCCTGTTCTCTGTGCTTCTCTCCCCCTGTGGAGTTCACACGTCTACCCTCCCTGCGGCCACTCTAGGAGAGCCTCCCACACTGAGGCAAGTCCACAGGAGGTCCCACCCTCAGCCCTACCCTGTGAGCTGGACGCCCGGGCACATTCAATCCTTTTCTTCTGAGTGCTCCTCACCACCTTCAAGGGCCCGGTGGAGTCGTCCTCCTTTGGAGTCCCCTGATCTGGGGTTCCCTGATTCACCGCCTTGAGCTTCTCTTGGGGTTCATGTGCAGGTGAGGCTGCCCCTGGGTCAAAAATGATTGTGAATGGTTTAAATGCCACCCCCACTGTACCTGCTCTTCTTCATTCATAGACTTCCCTTCTGGTCCCCCTCCTCCCCTTCAGATCTCTGTAACCCTCCATCTCATCTTTCTCTTAATGTTTCTTTCCCTGTGTGCACCGTTCTGCATTTGTGTGGCCCTAAACTGTGAGCTGACCCTGTCAGAGCAGAAGTGGCTTAGGTGGAAAGGAAGGTCTTACACTCAGCACCTGTGTACAGCACAGGGAGTATCCCCCCCTATACACACACCTTGCGAAGTGTAAAGAATCAAAGAATTGACAGGCAAAGGCCAGCCATGAAGCTGGCTACCAGGTCTATCAACGGAGGGTGTGGTGAGGCCAGAGGCTCTGCAGTGCCAGGGCCAGGAGGGCAGTGGGCTTCACTGGGGAGAGCAGACAGTAGTTGTCATTGGCTGGAACGTGGGAAGCTGGTCCCTGCAGAAGGGCCATGGTCCACTGGCACAAAGACGGCTCTCCAGAGCTCAACAGGAGCCAAACCCACACACCGCCCCACTGGATGAGGACCTGGGATCTCTTCCACTCTACCTCAAAGTGGCAATACTGTTTCTATTCTCCCTTTAGTTCAGAAGGATGGCTGCCCCTGTGTAAAGACGGAGCTGTCACTCTCCACCCCGCTTATGAACCTGCCATTGGAGGAGGAGGATTCTCACAGGCTGGAGTCACCCTTTCACTCAGCTCCGTGGTCTGGTGACATTTAAAACCAGATCACAGCATCGCTCAGAGCTCCTCAGTGTCTTCCCACTGCATTCAGAGCAAAATTCAGCCCAGCTCCACCTCACCTCCAGCCCCAGCCTCCTCTGCTCCCCGGTCTTACCTTGTGGGCTGTGCTTTTTCTGACGTCTCCTTTTTGGAGTTGACCAAATGCATCTTTTTCTTTTCTTTGCTAAATAGGGTGAAATTTTTTTACAGTTACAAACATAGTCTGCCATTTTTTTAAATTTAAATTACATTTTAGTGGGCGGGGGACAGTGCATGCTACTATGTGCATGTGGAGGACAACTTGTAAGAGTCAGTTCTCTCTTTCCATCATGTGGGTCCCAGGGATGGCACTGAGGTTTCCAGGCTAGGCAGCAAGCACCTTTACCATCTCCCTGGCACAGACTTGCCAATCTTATGTGTTAACAATATTCAGCTTTGACTTTTGGTCTGTAAAGCACAGTAGTCAGGATGCTGCTGCTCCGTGGAGTCAAAAGTGGTGGCAGGAGGGAGGGATAGAGGATGGAGGGAGGTGGGGGAGATGGGAGGGAGGAAAGAGGGAAGAAAGGTTGAGGGAGAGGGAGAGAGAAGAGAGAGAAATAGAGACAGTGAATGTAGGCATCTCATTTTATAAAAAGGAGAGAGCCAGGGAGACTGTTGAAAGAGATGACGACCAAGGCCAAGTTCCTCTGTGTGTGTGTGTGTGTGTGTGTATGTGTGTGTGTGTGTGTGTGTGTGCAGGTTAGAAAACCAGAGGTTGACATTGAATATCTTCCTCAATCCCCCTCCACCTTATTTTGTATTCATTTTTATTTTGTAAGTATTAAACCATTGATCTATTTTGTGTGATGTGTGGGAGCAAATGCCACTGCACATGTGTGGTGGTCAGAGACAACTTGTTGGAGTAAGTTCTCTCCTGAGAAAGTCCCTTGTGGGTTATATTAGGCTCCAGCAGGTCCTTGTGAGAGACAATGGAGAGAGAAGGCATCACTGATACTCTATGGTGAGGGGAGGACTGAAGAGAAGGGAAGGGAAACTGGAGAGGGGGCAGATGTGGTTAGGGTTGGCAGGGTGGGCAGAGAGAAGTGAGGGGCTCCATCTGATATCTTTAAAAGGAGGCACTTGGGGGACTGGAGAGGTGGCTCAGTGGTTAAGAGCAGTGACTGCTCTTGCAGAGGACCTGGGTTTGATTCCCAGCACCCACATGGGAGCTAACAACTGTCCATAACTCCAGTTCCAGGGGATCTGACTCCCTCTTCTGACATCTGCAGCCACTGCATGACACGGGTGCACTTACACACATGCAGTCAATGCACTCACACACATAAAATAAAAATAATAAATAAAATATTTTTTTACAAAGGAGGTACTGGATGAGGAGAAGGTTTGAGAAATATAAGGCAAGGCTGGAAAAGACCATCACAGGAAGTGAAGCTGTCACACGGAATGAAGGAGTATTTACTCGGGAACCATGAAGACAGGGCCCTCTGCCAGGAGACCCCCCAGCAGGGCCACTTTCAGATGCAGTGTGCAGAAAGCAGGTAGGACAGTTCCGCCAAGACTCTTGGGAGTCTAGGAAAGGTGGGGGTGGGCAAAGCAGGTGAAGAGCACAGGAATGGGTTACTGAGATGAGGGATCTTGGATTCCAAGCTGGGAAGGAGGGATGAGAAGACAGATGGGCTAAAGGAGGATCGGGAGAGGGACAGGCAGTGGACTGGTGATTTGGAGGAGGTGAAGACCAGCTGCAGAGGAAACAAATGATAATGATACGAAAACAGAGAGGGATGTTGAAGACTAGGTGTGTGTGTGTGTGTGTGTGTGTGTGTGTGTGTGTGTGTGTATTTTTAACTTATTTTTTAAAAATATTTTATTTTTTTTATTTTATGTGTGAGAGTGTATTGCCTGCGTGTATGTGAGTGCGCCCGTGTTGTGCAGTGCCCGCAGAGGTCAGAAGAAGGAAGGCGTTGGATTCCTGGAACTGGAGTTATGGACAGTTGTTAGCCACCATATAGGTGCTGGGATTTGAACCTGGGTCCTCTGCAAGAGCAGCCAGTGCTCTTAACCTCTGAGCCATCTCTCCAGCCCTAATTTTTATTTTTTTAGACAAGGTCTCGTGTATCCCAGGCTGGTCTCAAACTTGCTATGTAGCCAAGGATGGCTTTGGACTTCTGATCCTCCTGCTTCCAACTTCTGAGTGCTGGGACACACACACACACACACACACACACACACACACACACACGCATACACTACCATATCTGGTTTATGTGGTGCTGGGGATAGAACCGGGGAAGCACTTTTCCAAATGAGCCATCATCTTGGCCTCATGTTTAGTTTTGTTTTGAAGGAGCGACTGGAAGGCAGAGATCTGAGATTGAGCAACAGCCGTAGAAGGAAGAAACTTCAAGGATGTGTTAAAAAGAGAATTCCTGAATTAGTCATTGGGAAACCGAGCTAGGCCTAGATGATGGTAGTGACCATGGACAGCCTTTGGGCATAAAAGGTCAAGGAGTTATGAAGGAAAAGGTCACCGGAAATGAGCAGACAAGGAGGTGAGAGGCTGGAGCACTGGTGGGCCGTCTGCTGTCTGTGGAGACTTGAAGACACCTAGGATGATATCAAGATCTGAGGGGAGGAAAACAGCCTTTTGGGGCTTTCCAGGGAGCAACAGGGATGCTAACAAATGACAGGGCTGGAGAGAAGACATATTTCATTTTGTTTTTTAATTATTTATTCATTTATTTTGGGTATGGAGGGCGGCACAAAGGAAAGCTTGCGGGTGTAAGTTCTCTCCTCTACCCTGTGTGTCGTGGAGATTGAACTCAGGTTGTCAGGGTTGGCAGCAAATAAATTTACCTACTCACCCATCTTACTGACTGAAGAACAATGTCAACACCTCAAAAGTGAGGATGGGAAAGCAAGGATCTGGGTAGGGCAGTGGGTACCAGGGTAGACTCCAACCTGCCTGTTACCATGAGGTGTGAGTGACAGATGACAAAGGATGCCTCGCTATGACTTACCAGGAGGTTGTGTCCTGTCAGGAGAGCAACTTTGCTTAGTGTTGGTGTAAGTGACCCACTAAGCAGTGAGGACCTACGATTCTCATGGGGTCAGAGCTGGCAGTTCTGATGGATGTTTGTTTCAATATGTCTAAATGCCTTCTTTGTCTCCTACCATTTTCATAAAGGCCTTGAGGAGGGATCAATGACTAGGATTGCAGAAAAGGCTGTGCAGGGCATCACAGCTCTGGTCATATTGTCGGAGCTATGATGAAACACACTGGAACAGAAAGTCTCAGGGGAAAGGATGTCGGTACCTTTCTTGGCAGGTGTGCTGGGTGCTGCCTCATGCGCTTCAGAGTCATTTGGTTCTTGGGAATCATCTCTCATCACTAGGGAAAGAAACAGAATTCATCTCAGAGCTCTGAAGGGACTGAGGAGAAAGTGCCAAGAGAGGTCAGAAGGAAAATTAGGAAGTTGGGGAGCACAGGCCTAGGATCTGCCAGCCTGAAGGGTTCTGCCTTGATCTGACCTGTGTGAGTCTGACTGTGAACAGTGGACTCTCCACAGCGGGATGCTGTAGAAGCTACTTAGAGAAACTCCTTTCCTGGGAGGAAGAGATGAGCAGGGTTCTCAGCCGCCCTTGCTCAGGGAGTGGCCCTGAGAGCAATGGGTCGAGGTGGCGTTGAGTTCTGATGGCCACAGGGAAACGGCATGTGTGCTCTATCAAAAATATGCATCATGGCCTAGATATCTGAATACAGGTGTTTACTGACTGCTCCGTGACTGGTTCACTATGCAAAATGGGAAGGAAGCTGTGTGTGGCTGTGCATTCAAGACCTGTAAGAAAAGCGGGAACTAGCCTCGACTTGGTACCACCTAACAGCAAATATGTATGAATTTCTGCTAGATTCTGTTGTAATAAGAAATCAGAAGGACTTGAAACCAGGCAAAGGTCCATTTCACTAAGCTTGTCTCAAATTCTGGCCATTTAGTGTCAGGTAATAGAGGCATATTGCAAGTTTTCATTAGACTTTTGAAATAATTTATTATTTTTCACATCATTTTAGTAACATGTACTAAAACTTTGTTTTTGTTTTTAAATATTTTATTTTTACTTTATGTGCATAAGTGTTTTGCCTTGCCTGTATGTAAGTGCACCACGTGTATGTATGCTATGGAGACCAGAAGAGGATGTCAGATCCCCTGGAACTGGAGTTATAGATGGTTGTTAGGTACCATGTGGGTACTGGGAACTGAACCTGGGTCCTCTGCAAGAGCAGCCAGTACTCTTAACCGCTGAGCCATCCCTCATACCCCTATTTTATTATATATTTGTATGTGAGGGGGGGTATAAACATGTGTGTTCAGGTGCTTGTGGAGGCCTGAGGGATCAGCTCTCCCTGGAGCTAGAGTTACAGGCAGTTGTGAGCTGCCTGATATACATACTAGGACCTGAACCTGGGTCCTCTGCAAGTGCTTTTAACCACTGAGCCATCTCTCCAGCCCCTAACATATAATTTTTCAAAAGATATTTTTGTATTTATTTATTTTTGTATATGTAACTTCACATGCATATGCATGTTTCACGTGTGTGGAGGGCAAAGGACAGCTTGTAGGAGTCAGTTCTCTCCTTCTACAATGTGGTTCCAGAGAGTGTAAAACTCAGGACATCAGGCTTGGTGGCAAGTGCCTTTACCTGCTGAGCTATCTTACTGGACCAATAACAAGTATTCTTAATCCAAATGATGTACAGTTGACCAGCACTGAAAATGGACCTTCCCAGAGTCAGCGTGAAATCTGGGAAAGAGGGCCAGCCAGCGGCACGTCCACTGTCTGGGACACACAGGGGACTTGTTTGCTTACTGGGCTTTTCGGGCGGGGGGGGGCTGTTTTGGGCATTACCTTCTTCAGTGACCTCACCAGAGCAACTAAGTCACATAGTCCAGCCCTGCCTCTGTCCCCATCCCTCCTGGAGTTCCCATAATCCCTTTAGGCAGGGGAAGCTTCTCCCTTTGCTGACACCTTATGGCATCTGAAGTCTGAATCTAGCAGGTTTGGGGAGGGTCTTCTGACCTTCATGATGGTGGTTCCTACAAGTCTACCTTTCCCAGACTTGCCTCCTCACCCTCCCCAGGACTCTGCCTCCCTTCAGGAGCTCAGGTCTCCTGACTCTCCACATACTGGGTGAGTGGCTAAAAGCTGGGCTGAGATGGGATGAGAGCAGGAACAACAGCCCAGGTCAAGAAAATTCCAGTGGCTTTTTGTCTCGGTAGACAGGACAGCAGAGGTGAGTTGAGGCCATGGCTGTCAGGATGACTGAGGTGAAGTCAGCGCTCACCAGTGTGGCTGTGCACAGTGCCAGGCACTCGGCTAGGCAGCTCTGCTGAGTCTTCTTCCTTCGTATCTGTGGATGTTAAGTTGTCTCTGGTCACTGGAGGAGGAAGGAACATCTTGGGTTACCAGGACTGGCTGTGAGGGAGGAGAGTAAGCTGTGTAAATGCCCAGGAAAGGGGAAAGCTAAGACCAAAGGCAGATTACCTGGCACAGGGCCTAAGGGAGCATGGGACATCTCCCGAGGGTCTTGTTTGTCTTCTGTCTGGTGATCCCTGGAGGACACTGAGCACAGGAAGAAAAGGAATCACAGATTCGAAAGCAGCAAGCAGGGATCAGGGTGGGAAGGAGAGCAACTGATTCCAACAGGTAAGAACAGTGGTGGGCAGGCAGCAATGCCAAGGCAACAGGGAGTGGAGAGGGAAAGGGAACAGTTGTTTACTCTTAATTATTTAATAACAGTACTTATTCTTTTCTCATAAATTGTAGAAGATGAAATCTTCTATTGTTGTTAGCTTTCTAATTATATATAAATTTATTTATTTATTTATTTTTATTTTATGTGTACGAGTGTTTTGCCTGCATGTTTGTAAGTGCATCTGTGTTGTGCAATGCCCATGTGGGCCAGAAGAGGGAGTTGAATCCCCTGGACCTGGAGTTATGGACATTTGTTAACTGCCATGTGAATGCTGGAATCCAAACCCAGGAGTCCTCTGGCAGAGCAGTCACTGCTCTTACCCACTGACCATCTCTTCTGTCCCTCTAATTAAATTAAACTTTCTCTATTATTTTTAAGATGTATTTTATGCTCTTACCCACTGACCATCTCTTCTGTCCCTCTAATTATATTAAACTTTCTCTATTATTTTTAAGATGTATTTTATGCTCTTACCCACTGACCATCTCTTCTGTCCCTCTAATTATATTAAACTTTCTCTATTATTTTTAAGATGTATTTTATTTCTACTTCTGTGTTTGTACAAATATCTGTCATACACACACACACACACACACACACACACACACACACACACACGGGAGTACCCTCAGAGGCCAGAAGGCCATTGGATCCCCTGGAGCTGGATTTATAGGCAGTTTTGAGCTGCCCCACATGGGTGCTGGGAATTGAACTCTATTTCTCTATAAGAACAGTAAGTGCTCTTAACCTCTGAGCATCTCCCCAGCCCCAGATTATGTTAAACTTATTTGAATGGCATAATTTAGAGGGGTGGAGGAAATGTTACTGAGATCAATCTGGATCCCCTGACTTTCAGTCCTGGAGAGCTGAGAATCCATAATACCATGTTTGACAATGAAGTTACATGTCCCTGTTATGATTAATGTAATCAACTCCATTATACTGATGATTTGGGGCAGCAAGTAGCATAATTTTGGAAGCTAACTTAGGTCCAACAGACCATTAAAATTTTTATAATCTTTTCTCATAGTTTTCATAACATCTCTTTTAGAACCCAATAGAAGCAATAAAAGAATAAAAGAGTTTGAAGTATAGCTCAGTGGTAAAATGCTTGCCCAGCATGCAAAATGTCCTGCATTCCATTCTCAATAGTTAGTAAAAAATAAAAATACAAAATAAAAAAGAATCAGTAGGTTTGAAATTCAAAAGCCTCAGACCTTTGCCTGGAGGCAGGGGAGGTCACTAAAACAAGTGTTTAACAAGTAAACTTGTCAATTAGAACAGTGGGGGTGGGGAGAGATGAGAGGGAGGGAGAGAGAGAGAGAGAGAGAGAGAGCGCTATATGCTGTGGATGGAACCCAGGGCCTTGCATACACGGGGAAGTGCTCTACCACCGAGCTACTCATCTAGACCCAGAGCAGCATGTGAAGGGTTGGCTGGTTTTGCACTGAGTTGGTGGCTTGCCCTCCCTCTCTGCTTCTCTCCCTTTGTCATTTCCAGTTCTTTTCCCTGAGGCACCAACCACAGCCTCTCATTTGGCAGGTGCATATTCTCCCTTCAGGGTCACCTTGAGCTAAGCTAAGCCACCCTCATCAGTGTTACCTTGCACAGTGTCAGGGGAAGGGCTGGGCATCTCTCCTGAGCCTTCTTCGGTGTTAGTTTTGGATGTTAGGTCATCACTGGTCACTGAGGGAAGAAGAAAAATCACAAGTTGCAGAACTGACTATAAATAATGGGTTATAGGACAGGCCTTAAGGAAGAGAAAGAACAGTCTAAATACTCAGGGAAGGTGGGGCACCAAGGTCAAGGGCAGAGGCTGGGGTGTGCAGGAGTGGGTTGTAGGTGTTCTGGGCTCTCTGCCTTATCCTGGCCACTGACAAGGCTTATGATTCTTCTTTCAAAGGGTTGTGTGTAGGTAGATGGGTGCATAGAAAGGGCCAGATCAATGAAAGGCAGTGATTTTGGGCTTTAAGCCACAGGAAGCAAGAACCCTGGGTGGGGATACAGGGTGTAGGACAGGGTCTGTTTCTCACCTGGAGTACTTCTTCCTTCCTGCATGAGGCCAGGGTGAGGTATATCTGGGTCAGAAGGGTGAAGCTGTTCATCCAGGAGCTCAAGGATTTGCTGTGAGGATGCTTTGGGGTCATTGACTCCAGATGCACAGGATGGACGACTAGATGGAGGTGGCTGGGATGGGGGCAGTGGCAGCAGAGTCTGGAGGGAGCTTCCTTCTGCTGGGTCGGCTGGGGCTTTCAGTAGGATTGGTGTGGTTCTGCCCCACCCTCCATAGACAGCACCAACTGGTATTAGCAAAGGAGCACACATCAGGACCATGGAGATCAGAAGTTATCTGGGAACTAGGATTTCTCAGTACATGCTTTGCAGTGGGACAGGAGGCAGAGTGAGTGCTGGTTTCCAGGTGCACAGAGTGGGTTCCCAGGGTGATATTGTAGAACAATGGTGAAAACTTAAGGGGGTGGTACTTAGTGGGAAGTGGTTAGGTCATTGGGGCCCTTGAAGGGGATCTCATGGGGCCCCCTTCTTTCTTTACTTTCTAGCCACCCTGAGCAGTTTTATTTTGCCATGGTATGCTGCCTTGCCACAGGCTCAGAGCATAAGGCCAGTCTATATATGGGCTGGAGACCCCAAAACTTTGACTCCCAAATAAAATATCCCCCATTTCTCTTTTGGGGTTATTTTATTCACATTTTGAAAGTTTCATACATTTACAAAATTGATCATATTCATCCACCACTACCTCCTTCCAACTCCCCCTATTACCTCTCCAATCCCATTTTCCTCCCAACTCCGTGTCCTCTTTTTTGTTGTTGTTAAAAACTCCCTGAGTCCAGTGAGTGCTATCTCTATGCACATGGGTGTAGGACATCCACTGGGGTGTAGCAACCTACCAGCAGTATGTCCCGAAAGGAGAGTGGATTTTCCTCCCTCAGCAGTCATCAGCTGCCAATGCCTCCTCCACCACAGTGAGGCCTTGGGCCTCCGCCCCACGCCTCCACCTTCCATGCTGACGTTTTGACTGTCTTGATCTTATATAAGTCTTAAGCCTTTTCCCTTTCTAAATTAAGTACCGTGGGCATTTTGTTACAATGCCGAGAAGCTGGCTAACACATTGGCTCTCCTGTCTCGGTGACAGGTGCATTTTCTCCTACCCTCTCTTTCTGTGTCTGCCCATGTTTCCTTCCTTTCCTCTCAGCCACTTTTCTTCCTTCCTCTAGCTTTACAATGTGCCTTTACTGGCCTTGTTGAAACAGTGGTTACCTCTTGGGCTCTGGTATTAGGAGATCTGAATAAGAGTCCTGGTTCTGCTTCTAAACAGAGAAATAACTGTGGGAGTTATCTCCAAACTTTACTCTTCTCTGTCAAGTGCAGCTGCCAGTGACTACAGGCTGTTTTAAAGATGGCAGGAGGTTATCATACGAAGCCTGCAGGATGACATGCTATCAAAACGCCAGACTTATCTATTCCAGTTCCTCTCCTTGCTTAGTGTTCCCTATCTCTCTTCCACACCAGCTCTCTGTACGTTTACATTTCTGTCAACTTGGGCATTCCCTAGAGATGGGCCAGTATACTACGTGTGACACTTTCAGGCTGGGCAGGGTGGCTCACACCTGTAATACCAGCACTTGGAAGGAAGGCTGAGGCAGGACTGCTGTGAGTTTTAGGCCAGCCTGGGCTCCACAGTGAAATGCTGTCTCAAACAAACTAATAAATCAAGAGAGTAAGTTATTCTTTCACTGAAATTCATAGAACAGGTGAGACAGAAACATCTGCATTCTTTAAAAATTCACCTTAGGGGACTGGGCCAGAGTTAGCAAGGGCCAGCTGCTTCTGTGACTAGAGTGTGGTCCAGGGGTTGGCATGCAAATCCCATGCTGGAAACAAACCCAAACTCTTAGCATAGCAATACCTCACAGGCATAAAGTATGGGAGCCTCCACATTACCTTTTTGGAAGCTTCTGAAGACTGCCCCCAGGTTGGGGTATTCACGCAGGTTAACTCTGCTGAACAACGCCATCAGCAGACGCAGGCTGAAAGTCTTCTCCAGTTTGGTGAGGACACTGTGCACCACTCTGGACAGAGGGACCAAGTTCTGACAGGCTTCCAGGGATTCCTTCCAAAGACGGAGCAAACGGTTAGTGAAAATTTGTAGAGTTCTGAGTTGTAGGAACCCTACTTTAGGACTTAGGTGAGATGGCTGAGTGGAATAAGGTGCTTGCCGCCAAACCTGACACCCTGAGTTCAATCCTCAGCGCCCACATGGTGTAAGGACAGAACTGACTGTGCAAGTTGTCGTCTGACCTCCATTGCTAGCCCCACCTCACAATAAGTGAATGTAATTTTAAAAACTTTAAAAGCTACTTTACTCTTTTAAGAGGAAATTTGACATAAAATAGAGAACAAAATCCTCTGTTATAAAGAGGTCGCAGTTCCACACATATGCTTCATGTGTATATGTGTGCACAGTCATAAGAGGAAATAACAGCCTTCTTGAAAACAAGCCTCTCCTGTGGTCCTTCCTGTTAGGTCCATTTGAGGGAGGAGCTAAAGTATACGGAGGAAAAAAGGAATCAAAGGATACTACTGTGTAATTGGTCCTTTGATGTCAAGGCGGGATGCTTCACAGTGGACCTAACGTGATGAGAAGCCACATCTTGACAGCTGTCAGCCTCTGCCTCTGCCCTCATTCTCCCTGACTTGAGATGGACTGAACTGGTTTCTGGGAATTTCTCCTGCTGAGAAGATGGAAAAAGAAGTGACACAGCAGGAGAGAACTGACTACAAAACACTTCCTGTTCTGCTGGGCCCCAGGGTGCCTAGCACCGTACAACACCAGCATGGCGCTGCCCATGTAGGGGCACTGACAGGTGGGGAAGGTGAGCGTCCAGTAATGGAAAGAAATTCAGTCAATACCAACTGCAACTGAGAACTGTGCAATGAGAGGAAGGCCAGAGAGAGAGAGAGAGAGAGAGAGAGAGAGAGAGAGAGAGAGAGAAGAAACCCAGGGGGCTTAGTGGGCTTAGTCAGTGGGTAGGTGCCAGAGACTTGCTCTGAGGAATGGGGTCTGGATTGAGCACTGAAGAGGGAGCTGGTACTAACAAGGCAGAGACTGGGGGGACATTAATGCAGTTTTCCTGGACCCAAAATTTAAAATAGTTTCTAGGAGCCAATGTTATATGAAGAGTGTTACATTTGTCCACACAGTCACATCCCCCCTTGCCTGCCTCCTGTCATGAGGAACTGGGAACAAATAGGCTTCCGAAATACAATGAGCTATTAGTCAAGGAGCATGGCATGGACTCCCCTCAGGGCTTCTAGAAAGAATCAGCTTTGTTAACACCTTGATTTTGGTCTTCTGGCCTCCAGAACTGGGAGAGTCCAAATTTGTGATTTCTGGTTTGTGGTCACTTTGCTATGCCAGCCCTTATCATACCCCATCACTAAGACAGCCCATGACACCCTCTCTCCCACCCAACCGGCCCATCTTTTTCATAATGAACAGGGACAAGCTGAGGTTGCTACATTCTAGAAGCCCTGGTGGGTTGTGGTTTGAGAGCTCAGTAATGGAGCATCCTTGCTGAGGGCAGGGCTGCCTTGGAAGGGGGGTACAAGCCTCACCTTGTACATCCTCTCAGTGATGAAGTAGTTGTCTCTGAGGGCTTCAAAGAAAGGGAACGGCTTGTTGATGGCATAGGCGATGTCCAGTTTCTGGTATATGAAGTGCTGCAGAAGAGCCTCTTCCAAGGCCTTGGTCACAGTGAGCATCCTATGGAAAGAGGCAGGATGCGGAGACAGAGGTGAACCCCCCAGAGTGTGGACAGCTGCCTTCTGCACAAAATGGGCATCTGAAGGTAGACATTCTGGTTCCCAAGTGTTGCTTAGATGTCTGCAGAGCAAAGTCTGCCTGAAAGACTCATGGGACAGAACACAGAGACAATGCCCAGCAACCACAGAGGCTGAGGGGGATGGACAAAAGCATGCTGAACCCCAGCCGGCGATCAGCCTAAGGTGCACGTTAAAAAATAGTTGTTATTCTTTGTTTCCTGTGCGCCCGCCTTTGCTCCGAGGGTTTCATATGCAGTAGCTGGTTTGATTTCACAAAGTACTGCAAGACGGTCATTATCAAATGGTCATGTAAGTGTGGAGGACCCGATGCTAAGACACAAGGAGTAACCCTCATGCCAGACTGTGGGGCTTGGAGGAGCAGAGTTGGGAACAAATCCGGACTTCCTTCTTGCTGACTTACGGTTGTAGCAAGTGCTCTGTGGCCACATTGAGCTGGGTTGCCCCAGGCGCCTGCACTGCCACTGAGCCATCTACTGCCTGTGCTTATGGGAAAGGGGCCGCCAAATGCAAGGACATGGAGACCTGGGAACACTGAGAAACTCTGAAACACCATTCACAGAGCTGTGGTACAAACAGGCAAAACATAAATCCAAGGAGTGTGTGAAAAGGCGATTGGTGAAGACGACGTCACTGCTTGCTTTCATGAATCCATTTCTTTCTTCAGAATGGACCTGTGCTTCTTCCATACCCGTGTGAAATTCACAAAACCAACCATTTCCACACTGTGCGAGAAACAGAAGTCAGTTATAGTAGGCAGAAGACTTCCAGGCGGCATTC